AACTAAACCAAAAGGGAAACATTTACATGACAGGATTCTATACTGGCTTTGGAGGTTGACAGTTAACAAATAAAATACTCACAGAGACTCATCTGGCAGATGTTATATTATTGACTTGAACATCTGCTTTGGAGACATGGAACCTCTTGTGGCCTTATAAAATCATAGAAAATGGGGGTTGGAAGGGACCTCAGAAGGTCATATAATCCAAGCCCCTGCCCAAAGCAGCACCAGGCCCAACTAGAGCCTCCCAGCCAGGGCTTTGTTGAGCCAGGCCTTAAAAACCTCCAAGGGTAGAGATTCTACCATATCTCTAGGTAACCCATTCCAGTACTTCACCACCCTCCTAGTGAGAGAGTTTTTCCTAATATCCAACATAAACTTCCCCTCCTACAAGTTGAGACCATTATTCCTTGTTCTGTCATCTTCCTTTTTGTAGTATGACATGGGACTTCTTATAGTCAAACTAATGTGCAGTGTTAGGTTAATTACTTTTCAGTGAAAGAATGTTTGAGCTCACATTTACCAGAATTAGTGTACGTCAACTTAATCCATTGCAACTGTTTTTTGTCTGCTCTGTCCCACAATGAGTGGAAGCTGAACTATGGTAATTTAGCAGCTCTTTCTGTCAGGAATAAATTTGCCTAGTTTAGCTTCCAGTTACTTTGGTGTAGATTGGGCACATGAAGCAGTTTTAAGGGATCAACTGTGCTTATAAGCAGTAAGTCTGCTCTTTTAATTCCACAAGATTGTTTCATATGTCCATAACTTTTTCACCTACGCTGAAATCTTGTAGAAGTTCTTGGATCTTAATAATTCTTAGTAGACCTGCCATTTTTCTTACCTCTGAAATCAAAACAGAAGGTAGAAGACAAAACTGTGACTGTGCTTTAGCTACAGACTGCTTTTACTTGTGATGTTTTTCTGTCCCTATGCTCCTTACCAGGGGCCATTGCAGATGCTAAGGACCCCAATGTGCAGTGCAGTTACCTAGCTATGGAAAGGACAGCATAGTTTCTCTTTGGTCAGTCTTTTATGTGAATCTGTCTAGAGAACTGCCTGCTTCAATTCTTGAAGCCATTCTGTCTCTCTCTCCAAACATGGTTCTTATGTGTTTTTCCTGCCAAATGAGAATTTGGTAGGTTCTCTATTCTGTTAGTGAGAGTCCCTCTAGAATGAGGACAGTACAAGGGGGGAACATTCACCATCCACCCTAGACTTTCTCTCAGACTGATGGTCACTGTGGAACTGTGCTGTACTGTTCATAAGCAGCTCCATTCTCACAGAGTTTAGGAGCTGGACATCAGAGGACACTATGTGGCTGGTTGAAGGATTGGTGAAGTAGAGGCAGTCAGTAGTGGAAAGGACTGTACGTCGCATGGGTGGTAGAAGGAAGGCTGGAGATGAGAGCTCTCAGAAATAGCTTCTAAGCAGACTATGGCTGTAAGGGCATTTGTCCACTGACTCTTGCCTGACAGAAAATTATCTCCAGACATTAGCAGTAGAAAGAATAATCTTTCATTGGACCCTATGCCACTTTCAGCAAGTCACTTCACCACTTTCCAGCAGGTTATTTACCAATATCACAGGAGTGTACTAGGATTGGCTAATTTTTTTGCAGAGTTCTTTGAAATTTTCCTATAAAAAGCATTTTTTCAAACAGATAGTGGAAGTTTCCCAATCACAAGCCCTGGCTCTCATGGGTGATTTCAATCCCCCCAACATCTGCTGCAAGGGCAATACAGCAGTACATGGGCAATCCAGGAAGTTTTTGGAGAGTATTGGGCACAACTTGGTGGTGCAAGTGCTAGAGCAGCCAACTAGGGGCCATGTTCTTCTTGACCTGCTGCTCACAAACAGAGATGTATTGGTGGGGGATGTAGTAGTGGTGACCACAAGATGATTGAGTTCAAGATCCTGAGGAAAGGAAGGAAGGAAAGCAGCAGAGTAAACCCCCTGGACTTCAGAAAAGCAGACTTCAACTTGCTTAGGGAACTCATGGGCAGGATCCCCTGGGAAGCCAGACTGTGGGGGAGAGGAGTCCAGGAGAGCAGGCTGTACTTTTTAAAGAAGCCTTGCTGAGAGTGCAAGAATAACCCATTCTGATGCACAGCAAGACTAGCAAGTATGGCAGAAGACCAATTTGGTTTAGCATGGGAACTCTTCAGTAAACTAAATTACAGAAAAGAAGTTTATTATAATTGGAAACTTGGCCAAATAACTAGGGAAGAAAATAAGAGCATTGCTCAGACATTCAGGGATGAAATCAGGAAGGCCAAAGCACAACTGGAGTTGCAGCTAGCAAGGGATGTGAAGGGTAACAAGAAGGGTTTCTATAAGCATGTCAGCACCAAGAAGAGGATCAGGGGAAGTGTGGGTCCCTTACTGAATGGGGGAGGCAACCTTGTGACAGAGGATGCAGAAAAGGCTGAAGTGCTCAATGCCTTTTTCACCTCAATCTTCACAGGCAAGGTCAGCTTCCAGACTACTGCACCTGTCAGCACAGTTTGGGGAGGAGGTGAGCAGTCCTTAGTGGTGAAATAACAGGCTGTTTATAAAAGCTGGATGTGTACAAGTCCATGGGGCTGATGTGATTGCAGAACCATTGGCCATCATCTTTGAAAACTCATGGTGATCAGAAGAGGTCCCACATGATTGGAAAAAGGCAGACATAGTGCCCATATTTAGGAAAGGGAAAAAGAAAGATCCAGGGAACTACTGACCAGTCAGCCTCACCTCAGTCCCTGGAAAAATCATGAAGTAGATCCTCAAGAAATCCATTTCTAAGCACTTGGAGGAGAAAAGGGTGATTAGGAACAATCATCATGGATTCACTAGGGGCAAGTCATGCCTGGTCAGCCTGATTGCTTTCTATAATGAGATGACTGGCTTTGTGGATGCTCTGTGGAAGCTCTGGTGGATGTGGTGTACCTTGATTTTAGCAAGGCTTTTGATACAGTCTCCCACAGCATTCTCACAGGCAAGCTAAGGAAGTATGGACTGGATGAGTGGACTGTAAGGTGAATGGAAAATTGACTGGAGCATCAGGCTCAGAGAGTAGTAATCAATGGCTCAATGTCTAGTTTGCAGCCAGTATCAAGTGGAGTGGTTTTGTTGAATGTCTTCTGTCGGGGCCGAGGAGCTGTGGCCAGCAGCCCGGGCACGTGGGCCGGGGAAAAGGTCAGCACGGCGAACTAGAATTAGGCACGGACACGTAGAGGTTGATTAAAAATTATTTTACTTACACCATAGATGGTCGCGGTGCAGGCAGGAAAACTTTCTTGAGTTGCAGTTACAAAAAAGAAACCACACATGTGGAGTTTGCTAGGCTCCACCGAAAACACACGAGTGGAGTTTGCTAGGCTCCGCTAAACAAACACGAACAGAGCTCTGGATACCACTCACGGAGTTTGCTAGGCTCCGTGGACCGTCCGAAATGAGAGTCCGAAAGGTGACTCTCCACAAAAGCGTGCAGGGTGGGGTACGTCGAGGGATCGTGCGGTGATGGGGAGAGGCTAGAGGTTGATCAGGCCCCTGTATCCTCCTGTAAGGCACACACGGAGTTTGTTAGGCTCCACAGCGTGCTTAGAGCTCTTCACAAGATGGATGTGAAGTCCTCCTCCTCCAACTTGGGCGGAAACTGCTCAAGCCTCTTATATGGCTAGCAAGCCAATCGCTAGCCGCCCCGCGGGAATAATTTAGAAACAGCCAATAGTGGGAAACAAATTTACATACGGGTGGCGGGAACTCCTTTGCACCAGGGTTTTCTCTATGCAACTGAGAATTGCACTGTGCAAAGAAAGCTCCTTGTGGCGGGAAATAATTCTGCAGTGCCGAAGCACACAAAATCATACCCTTTGGGTCATGACATCTTCATCAACACCCTGGAAGATGGCATAGAGTGCACCCTTGGCAAGTATGCAAGTGACACCAAGCTGGGGGAAGTAGTAGATAAGCTGGAGGGTAGGGCTAGGATTCAGAGCGATTTAGACGAACTGGAGGATTGGGCCAAAAGGAATTTCATGATGTTCAACAAAGACAAGTGCAAAGTCCTGCACTTAGGCCAGAACAATCCCATGCACCAGTACAGGCTGAGGGCTGACTGGCTGGGCAGCTGCTCTGCAGAAATGGACCCGGGGGTTACAGTGGACAATAATCTGACTATGAACCAGCAGTGTGCCCTCGTTGCATAGAAGGCTAATGGCATACTGGGCTGCATTGGCACGAGTGTTGCCAGCAGGTCAAGGGAAGTGATTATGTTCTTCTACTCTGCACTGGTGAGACCACATGTAGAGTTCTGTGTTCAATTTTGGGCCCCCCAGTATAAAAAGAATGTGAAGAAATGGGAGAGTCCAGCAGAGGGCAACAAAAACGGTAAGGTGCTGGGGGCATGACTTGTGAGGACAGGGTGAGAGAACTGGGCTTATTTAGTTTAGAGAAGAGGAGGCTGAGAAGGGACTTCAGGTAGTTGAATGCTACCATTAAGTGGGGTTTAAAAGAGGATGGAGCTGGACTGTTCTCAGTAGTGGCAGATGACAGAACAAGAAGCAACCACCTGAAGTTGCAACAAGGGAAGTTTAGGTTAGATATTAAGAAGAAATTTCTCACTAGGAGAGCAGTAAAACACTGGAACAGGTTACCCAGAGAGGTGGTGGAATCTCCCTCCTTGGAGACTTTCAAGATCTGGGTAGACAAAATTTTGGCTGGGATGATCTAGTTGGGGCTGGTCCTGCTTTGGAGCAGGGGTTTGGACAAGTTGACTTCCTGCGGCCTCCTCCAACCCTAACTTCTTATGATTCTATGACTATATAAAAGGACTTATTTCAATATCCTGGCACTGTTCTTGTCTCATTAGATATTGAAGGCAAAATAACCCTTGACTCATTGAGAGAGGAGACCTGCAACACCCCCTTTTTTCACCATAAGTAGAGAATAAGGGGAAGTGATGGGTATTGTCCTGTAGCTTTTATATTAATGCTTTACTTTGGTCTCATATGCAGTGCTGCCAAGCGGTTCGTGACTTTGTTTGTGAATGTGGATGTCACCTCTGAGCCCCATGAGGTCTCTGCTCTTTGGTTCCTGTGGTATGTGAAGCAGTGTGGGGGTACAGGCAGGATATTCTCCACAACCAATGGTGGCCAGGTACAGTAAGTTTTCCATTTCATTTCTTGGCTTGCAGTGTGGCTTATGTCAGAATCCATTCAAACTTCTTTTCTTTGCTTTAAAAAAAAGAATTAGCCTTGCTCAAACACTGCACACTGCTACAATAAGAGTGTAATCAGACTCCTATGGTGTTCAGTTTACATAGAGGGAGTACATGTCATTGTGTGATATGGTTCAGGCCTTAATAATGTGGAAGGCTGTTCTTTTGGCTATGGCACTGCACTGGGGATCAGATTTGGGCTCAGTTTCTGATTCCAGTTTCTACTCTGACTTGGGGCAGATCACTACCCTCTCTGGCGATATCGTTCCCTTGTGCACTATTGGTCGCAGAAACCTCTGTCCCTTAGCCACAGTAGCCTGATAGGCCACTGATGCTAAAATAGAACTTTGACCTTTTTTCATACTGAAATGGACATACTTGGCTAATTTCTAATGTGTGTATTAGTTTAGGGTTTGTTTCACGCTTTCAGAATTTTCTAGTTAAGCCAAATACTGCTGGACAGATTTTAAGACTGTGCTACTTGCCATATTTTATTTTTTTGAATACCCACTTCTTATTTTGGCCATCGTTTGTCCTGTTCATGAGCAAGTTTGCAAAAGAGAGAAGACTGAATCTAGCTGAGCATTTAAAGTTGGAATCCTTCCAAAAAATTTGGATGATCATTTTCAATCTCCAAAACTAATCTGGCAGTTGCAGCACAAGAGGCTTTCTCCTGAGATTTCTGGTTTCCATTGCTTTAATGGTGATTAAATCTAGCAAAAGTAGTGGTGTACAAAAAAGGAAGGCCGTTTCCAGAATAAACCACCTAACTCTCCTAAGGTAAAAAAAAAAAAATAGGCCTTGGTTTGTTCTGTCTTGAGTAAAGGTTTCAGATGATTCATGATTTATCTAGTCCAGTTTGCTTATCTCACATTATTTTTATCTTTCAGGAGAGAAAGTTTGTTGGAGGCTCTGGTCAGATTAGTGAGAAGATAATGGAACGATTGGGGAACCGAGTAAAGCTAGAGAGACCAGTAGTCCACATTGATCAGTCACATGAAAATGTCATAGTGGAAACCTTAAACCATGAGATTTATGAGGTAATTATAACCCTTGCATTCATGAAAATATTTGTTCAAGAAAGCTTTTAAGGCCTTTAATTGCTCTGTTTTGTCTTCTCCAAAGTCTTTTAACACACAATAGCAGAGAATAGAGCTACAGTAAATCAATGGTCACATTTTTCTGAGGCTTGGAACAGGTCCCTGAGAAGCAGAGTGCTGAAAGATGTACTCCCATCATTCTGTCACTCTCCTCATTGCACTGCATTCAGTTAACTTCAGAATAAAAAGACTGTGTTCAGGGATGGCAATAGAAATGCATCTTGAGGGTAACATTTTTGCAGAATTATTTCAGGTACCACATAAAGAAACAATTAAAAAATCAGTGTGTTGGACCTTTACAAAAGGAGTAGTTTGGCCACTGGATTATTTCAACCATTTAGAAAAGGTCGGCTGCAGATCACTAGATCAGATGCTTACATATTGTTTTGTTTGTTGGGTTGGTTTTTTCATTTTTTTTGTTGGGTTTTTTTTGTTTTGGTTTGGTTTTTTTACAATTTTTACAACCAGGAATTCCTGAAAGTTTTGTTATGTAACTCTTGTACTATGTTGGCCAGACTTGCCTTTGACCTTCCCAGGTTTCTGCCAAAGAATTGTAGCTATGATTAAGCACTGAAGAGTGCATTTAGTTTACATGCTATTTCTTTTCCAGGGTAAATATGTTATTAGTGCCATCCCCCCAGTTCTTGGCCTGAAGATTCATTACAATCCACCATTACCACCAATGAGAAACCAATTGATTAACCGAGTTCCTATGGGTGCAGTCATTAAGGCCATTGTGTACTACAAAGACACTTTCTGGAGGAAAAAAGGTATTGTGTTTTGATTGGGAGGTTCTTTGTATTATCAGAGGATACAAGAGTCCGCTTTATAAAGGAAAGACAGGCTTGTCTTAAAGGAGATTTCATAGCTTTCCAGTAACTTGTTTGAGTGTCCTAAGAGAAGCAGAGAAAATGACATGAGGAGAGAAGGTGGAATGCACTGGTATTATTCCTTATTTATCTTCTATGGGTCTTCATTTACATCTGGGAAGGAGCCAAGTTTCTGCCATTAGATACATTAACATAATGGTACACTGGATGCATTTCACAGAGTTTTTATGACATCTACTGCAGATCTGTGATGACTTTATCCTGAGACCATTGTGTAGCTACCATACTGTAGCTATATCTCTTAGTCTACTATTGGCTTTAAGGGTTAAGCCAGGGTTATTCAACTGACAGCCTGTGAGGGGCCAGCATTTGGCATGCAAGCTGCACTCATCCTGTGAGCATGCAACAAGCAGCCCATGGGCCCTACTGGCTGCCTCTTCTGTTGCCACTCAGTGGGGGGTGGGCCCAGTAGTATGTGTGTCACTTGCGTAGTAATAGGTAGGGAAGCTGCATGCTGCCAACCTGGCGTGTGTGGTGGGAGGCGGAGCTGGGTGCTACTACTCCGGCCCATGTGGCAGGGGGCAGAGCTGAGGAGCATGTGCAGCCAGCCCAACCCATTCAGTCAGGGAGATCTTGGGGAAGGCTGCCCCTTCAGTGTGCAGCCTATGCAGTGTGAGGACCAGGGTGGGCTGCACGCAGGTACCATGTATGGCCCCTGACCGTGCCCTGAGTTAGGATGTGTTGGTACTTTTTGCCCATTAGAGGCTTGCGGGTGTATCTGCAACAGATGACTGGAAAGATCCCCACCCAGTAGTCTAAAAGACCTGCTGCTTGATGTCATGAATCAGAGCAGCCGCCGGCAGCCGCTTTCTGACTCCCACCGGAGTGTTTAGATTTTTGACTTGACAGGTGGGTAATTAATGGATGGAGTGAAATTAACCAGGCACAGACGTGTGTTGGTTGCAGGAGATTTTACTTACGCCGCCTAGGAGTGAAGCGCGACGCAGGCAGAAGGCTTGCTTTGTTTACAATCGAGCGTGCGTATCTGGTTACAATCGATGTGCGTGACGAATGAGATGCTGTGACCAAACTGACGAGCCTGCAGGGGGGGTTTTGGGTACGTCAGGACCGCCGATGGGGAGTTATTGGTGGGTGATCAATCCGCCAAGTTACTCTGCTGTGTGTGTTCAGAGTTCTCCGATTTGGGCGGAAGTGCAAGCTGGTTTTGTTTGTGTTATAACCAATTGATTTAAACCATGTCATTTGGCTTTAGTTGAATCTCCAATTATATAGCATTTTTCGCCAGGGTTTTATTTCAGGGTTTTATTGCAGGGATGCTCTCTTTTTTTTTTTTTCTCTCACCCTGACCAATTGTCAGGATTTATGACAGGGATGTTTTCTCTCTCTCACCCTGGCTAATTGTAATGCATGCCAAGCTAGGCAGGCCTGAGTTTTGTTTCTTGTTAGCAACACAGGCTTAAGTTTTGGTTTTTTTGCTAGTGACATGGGCATAGTTGCTTTTAGTTATGACACTTGAATGCTGCATTAATAATTCTTGTACCTCCACTGTGCTTTCAGAATAAATGTACAAGTGTCCTGATATGTCTTATATCCAGGATATCTGATGTGCTTATCTTTTATGAGTGCTTTGTTCAATATGTTCAAAGCAATTGAGCATCTCCAGTATTTGAGAACAGCGTGCTTTAGTGCACTTAATAAATCTCCTAATTATGTGAATTACAAGATAATTGCTTTTCTATGTCAAAAATTCAATTATGTGAAATCCCTTATGTTGTTCTTCCATTTCCAGGATATTGAGAAGGGATTGTTAAAGAACCATGGGATCTAAACCATCTCCCCTTGCTAGAGTGTAGTATTTCTCAGAGCCCTACTAATAGCACTCAGTCTCTGGTAGTACAATGCCACAGGTCGAGGGAATGGTGGAATAAACTTTTATCACATTGTTTTGTTAATTTGGGATGGGTTTTTTCTTCCTATTTCCTGCTCTTTCATAGCTCTCAGGTTCTAAAATAAATTCTCATATGTGCTTTGCAGGCTACTGTGGTACCATGATCATTGACGATGAAGATGCTGCAATTGGTCTAACACTTGACGATACCAAACCTGATGGCAGTGTTCCTGCTATAATAGGGTAAAAGATAATATGGACAGTGAAATGCTACTTGTTGATGTTTTTTGATTTGGGAGATGCTCAAAAGTAGAAACAAGTCGTTGAACGTAAAACCTCTGATAAACAATTAAGTAGAGCTAATCAAAAACTCTCAACTATATCTCATATCTGGTAATTTTTTTGTCCAACTATTTAAGAAAAACAACATTTTCTTGCCTTTTTATTTTAAAGTTTTTTTAAAAAAATTGTTGGTAAAATATTTTTTTAAAAAGAAACATTTTTCTCTATTTTTTTCTCCCCATCTCCATTCAGTGGTAAACAGGGAAGAAAGGAAAAACAAAATAAAAACCTTTAACGTTTCTCCAAATATTTTGCCCTCCTTTAAAGGTTTTAATGAAAAATCAACAAGCTTTATTAAAATGGATTACATTCTAAGAAATGTGTAGGTTTTTTAATTAATCAAAACTTATATTTGTGGTTCCTTAATAAAGATATTGAATCATTCTCCCAATTCCACTCCATGCTTCAGAATTCTTTGTTACATATGTACATGAACTACTGTATAAAATGTTGGGCACCATAAAACAGCTCGTACAGCTTCAAACCCTGGCCCTACTGTTGTTCCCTGAACAGAAGAACCAAAACCAGCAGTCTGCACACTACCCATTCTGTGGCACTTAGCTGGGAAGGAAGGGTGTGGACATGGGCCTGATGAAAGGTGACTACACAGGTATACCAGTCATTCTGCCTTTCCTTCTTGGGTGGAAGAGTGTACCCATTTCAGTGGGTGCTGCAGTCCTATAGCTATGTTACCACGCTGCTACATACAGGGAAAAATCTATCCTCTTCCCCTGTACCTCAGTCCCAGTGAATATCCCTAGTGTGCAGCCACTAGTGACTATGCTGGAAATTGAGATTAAATCCTGCCAACTGGAAGGCAAGTTTCTAGTCAGAGTTCTTGGCAAAAAAAAAAAGTATTTAAAGAACTGGCAAGTGAACGCTAGAGAGAAACAGAAGACTGAACAGAACCTGGCATCAATTTAGCTCCTTGCTGATCCTGGTTTAAAGTGTACAAGTATATGTATACAGGGGGCGCATCTACACATTCATTAATGAACCATAGTTATTGCGCATTAGGTTTATTACTTGTATAACCAAGTACTAAATCAATGCATAGTAACTGGCACTCTAAGGCAGTAGCACCAGCGCATGGCTTTTTTAACTCTAACTGTGCAATAGCCTAATACTACTGTGCATTAGCGTATTGGCATCATTTTTGCCCTACACGCTATTGCATAGTAGAATTAGGCTACTGCGCAATTAGTGTTGTGTAGATGCACCCAGTGATGATGTGAAAGTAACAGTATTTTTTTGTTCTTTTTCGTAATTTATTTTTAGTTTTATTCTTTCTCGGAAGTGTAGAAGACTGACACACCTTACAAAGGAAGAAAGGTAAGAACAACCTTTTACATGGGTTCTAACTGTCAGAGGCTTTAAATCTCTCTCTCTCTACACATAACAGACAAAAAGTTCCTTTTAGTAAAAATCCCCATGCAATAATTATAGGGAAGTTGGGTGTTAACTAAGCACAGTGCTGTCACTTTAAAAGAGAAACATTTCACCTTGTTCCCAGGGAAACCATGCCTAGCCTTCATCCAAAACGGCAGCAAACACAGTCACTTCTAGCTGTCATCTATAAAACATTGTGGGCTAAATCCTTAGGCCCTCATGTGACTGCTTTGAGGTTGTCAGGCAGTGGAACGTAGCCAAAGAAATAGAACAGCTGGGGTTCCCTTAGCATAAAGGAATGCCTAGTGGGCCCAACGCCAGCTCATGCTCTGTACTGCTGTTCCTATGGCCCTACATAGTACCCTGGATACATTGTGTGTGTGCCAGGTATAGGAGGGCCTAAATGAAAACATCCTAATGATCCTAGTCCTGAAGGCCATTTCAGCGCCTGGACACTAGTTCAGCATTGAAACTGCTCCAGTTCTATATCATGGGATGAACCAGCACACAGAATTGGGATGTAGAAATGTGGCAGAAAGCTGCCCGTACAGAGGAAACACTCTGGAAGATCTACCCCCTTGTCTTGTTTAAGCACATTTTGACTTACAGCAGACTGTTAGTAATTAGCAAGACTAATGTTCCACAGCAGGCCTGAGGGGAAGCCCTATTTAAAAATGCATAGTGCATGTTCAGACTTCAAAACATGGGTGTAACAGGTTGTATGTCTCAGGGCCTGCAGCTCAGCTCCAAGTGACAAGCAAGTGATTGCAGGCCTGCCTAGGACGACTGGGCCAGCTGATGGGAATAGTTGGCTGGCCCACAGGAAGTTAAAAGGCTCCCAGGGAAGGGAGCTGAGAGAGAGAAGGCTGGGAGACAGAAGCTGTGGCATTGAGCTGCAGCATTCTCTCTGAGTCTGGGAACGGACCACCGTGTGAGTTAACCCTTTACTGTCAATGTCTTCATTTGCTTGATGATTTACGGTTTGTGTTTGTTTGCCCCAGGGGACAAAGACTGTGTTATGTAAATGGACAACCTGCTACAATGGGATACCATGTCTCCAAGTAGACATGATGATGATAATGATAATGTCCAACCTCACTGGAACAGACTGTCATCCTGGGATCAGCTAGGAATCTCTGTAGAAATGAGATAAGTAGGGAACATACAGAAGGATCAAATGGGGTCATTATTCCCCTAGGACTATTAAAATGGCAGTGTTGCACCATAGAACTTCTTTTGTTTTGGCAGGAACAGACCACACATTCTGCACCCACTTTTAAGCTCTGAGGTAGAACTGAAATAGGTAACTATCTATAAAAAGCTTTGCAGGTAGTTTGAAATCTACTGTGCTTAGCATTTCAATCTATCAACAACACTAAATGCTGTTCCATGCCATGTGTCAACAAGTTAAGTGCAATTTAACATTCAACAGCACTTGAAAGCAGCTTACTGTTTCTGTGTAATGAATGGATGCCTCATTATTTATAAAGCTGCCATAAGATGAACCACTGTGTCTGAGAGTATTGAGAATTAACAGGATTATCTGACTGTAGTTGCCTAAGGTTAACATTTAAACAATGGTATTTGGACACTTGTCTTTGCTGATTGAAAATCAAACTGCTAATGACTTTTATATAAGAAGGGGTGACAGTGTACTCTGTGCTTGGTACAACATGTCTGTCAGGAAAAAAGTCACTCAGTCTTAAGGCACATCTCTTATGCCTCAATTTAATCCTCTACAGGGATGGGATGCAAGCCAAGTGGCTGGGCAGGAGTATCTCTGCACTCACCTATGAACTCAGCACTTGGCTTCCCCAAAACAGGCTAGATTCAATCCATCATAAGTGACTCAGTGTATTTCCTGGGGTCCAGAAACTTTGCGTTCCAGGGACTCCCTGTACGGAGCATACCAGGAAAGCCAAGGCTGCAACTGAACTCCAACTAGCTTTGAGCATCAAGGACAATAAAAAGTCCTTTTTCAGATATGTGGGGAGCTGGAGTCTATATAGGTACTTTGCGTCGGTCTTTCATCAGTCCCATGGGACGCCCATGCCTGCTACGGGACAGGGAAGCCCGGGTGAGGGTGATCCCCTGCCCTCCATTAATGCTGACTTCGTGAAGGAACATCTTGAGAAGCTGGATACCTTCAAGTCAGCCGGCCCTGACAATCTTCACCCCAGGGTACTCAAGGAGCTGGCGAGCATCATAGTCCAGCCTCTAGCACGGATCTTTGAAAACTCTTGGCGCTCTGGTGTAGTGCCCGAAGACTGGAAGAAGGCCAGTGTGGTGCCTATCTTCAAGAAAGGGAGGAAAGTGGATCCAGCTAACTATAGGCCCATTAGCCTGACTTCTATCCCGGGGAAGATCTTAGAAAAGTTTATTAAAGAGGCCATCCTTAATGGACTGGCCGACGCCAACATCTTAAGGGATAGCCAGCAGCCAATTTCTTCAGCACCCTTGGATGAAGTTCATTCGGGCCCGCTGATTTGAACACATCCAGCCCCTCCAACTGCCCCTTCACTAAGTCTGCGCTAACAGTTGGTGGGCTGGTGTCCCTCCTGTGTCTATCTATGATCCAACTGGGAGATGTGCCTTGGTCTGTGTCTAGAAATGCAGATGCAAAGAATTCACTGAAGAGCTCAGCTTTGTCCCCCCCTGTCTGTCACCAATTGCCCTAGTTTGTCCTGTAGGGGTCCTAAGCTACACTATGCCTTCCTTTTGCTCCCTATATACCTGAAGAAAGACTTTTTGTTGTCCTTAATTTTTGTCACCAGCCTAAGTTCTAATCCTGCTTTAGCCTTCCTACCTGATTCCCTACAAGTGCGAGACAGGGAGGTATACTCCTCCTCGGTAGCTACCCCGTTTCCACAGCCTATATACCACTTCCTTTGCCCTTAGGCTTTCCTGGACTTCCCTGTTCAGCCAAGAGGGCTTCTTGACCCCTTTGCCCCCTTTTATGTGAAATGGGATTATCTCCTTCTGCACTCATAGGATCGCTCCCTTGAGGAACAACCACCCTTCCTGGACCCCCATTTCGCCAATGCTCTTGAGCTTTAAGACATCACTAACTAATCTCCTGAGAACATTTTAGATGCTTCTCAAGCAAATCCCAGGACGTCATTCTCCCCTTGTACTCGGCCTTGGTGAGGCCGCAGCTGGAGTACTGCATCCAGTTTTGGGCTCCACAATTCAAAAAGGATGTGGAGAAGCTTGAGAGAGTCCAGAGAAGAGCCACGCGCATGATCAGAGGTCAGGGAAGCAGACCCTATGATGACAGGCTGAGAGCCCTGGGGCTCTTTAGCCTGGAAAAGCGCAGGCTTAGGGGTGATCTGATGGCCACCTATAAGTTTATCAGGGGTGACCACCAGTATCTGGGGGAACGTTTGTTCACCAGAGTGTCCCAAGGGATGACAACTAGGTCGAATGGTCATAAACTACTACAAGATCGTTTCAGGCTGGACATAAGGAAGAACTTCTTTACTGTCCGAGCCCACAAGGTCTGGAACAGCCTGCCACCGGAGGTGGTTCAAGCGCCTTCATTGAACACCTTCAAGAGCAAACTGGATGCTTATCTTACTGGGATCCTATGACCCCAGCTGACTTCCTGCCCTTTGGGCAGGGGGCTGGACTCGATGATCTTCCGAGGTCCCTTCCAGCCCTAATGTCTATGAAATCTATGATTGCCTGAGAGGCTATGACAACTCTTCAAATCTGAAATGTCAGCTGAAATAGCCATCATAATGGGATTTTACTGTAGCTTGTCTGCCAAAGTAAGGATGCGAAATCTTCCTCTGTCTCCCACCAATGCATCCCTGGGACACAGCCTAGTTACCAACTACAGTGGGCCAGATTGTGGCCTACCTTGCACAGTTGTGCAAAGGAACTTAGGGGTATCAAGCACTTCCTTTCCAGCTCTTGCAACATGAATAGTGGGGTAGGTAGGAGAGCTGTCTCCATGGGCCGTTCCCATCCCCTCCTCCTGCATAAGTGGGTGGGAATAATAAAAGTTGCAAGTATGCATGGCTTTGGCTTCATCTCCAACTCATTGTCTAGCCTAGCCATGCCAGGGCAATGGGAAGTACACGGCACCATGTACTACCTCTGCAAAGGGAGGAAGTACATGGTGCCATGTACTTCCACAGAGGGAAATCAGCAGGTAAATTGTAACTCTTACCAAGATGTCTTCTGGACTGCTTTAGGTGCAAAACACCACACCTTAATTATGGCTTGTGGAAAAACTGCGATTGAACCTGGGACTAGGAAATGAGTATATCATACACATTTAAAAACATGGATATGCTACATTTACTGCATGTCCAAGTAGAATTTTTGGGAGTAGTAACCAGCCTGGATGTTGGCATGTAGATATCCTGCATCCTGTGAATGGAATGATAGCAATAGACTTTCCAACTATAATTAATTTAAAACACATAAAGGTGAGGGCTTGGGTGTTTGTGAGTGGAAGGAAAACCTGCAAGGGCTCAGTAACAATGCTAGGAAGAACAGTCAAATAAGTTCAAGAGTTAGCTAGAATATTTTTACCACCAGTTCTCAATCCTTTGGAGGCTACATATTTTCTAGGATTACATTGATTTATATAATGTCTTTCAAACCATTTGGTAGCTTGGCAACATGGAAGATGCCATTAAGCTGAAGGTTAATATTTACTTATGGTTGAGCTATTTTAAAATCATCTTATCTTTGCAATTTAATTAGCAAAAGGTGGTGGATAGCTTCTCGGAGTCCCATTGCTGTTTTCAACCATGAATGTCCAGAGATCTGCAGGGAAGGGAAAATTGGCAGCTTTTGTTTAACACCATGGCTGGGGTAGGTGGGCTGTCAGTGCCAGTATCACTTCAGTAGGCTGAACTGGCAGGGGAATTTGGAAGAGAATCTGGCCTGGGCCTTTGTGACACAGGAGATGGGGAGAAGGGTTGGTTGTTTTTGTTTGTTTGTTTGTTTGTTTGTTTTTTGCATGCATGAAAAGATGATTAATCATCAGTTTTTTTCCAATGGCTGTCATTGGCTCTTCCCTTTACCTGTCCCCGCCCCCACCCCCCTCCCCCTGACTGCAGTGTGACTTCAATATTCATGCATTGCAGCTGTCTGAGGGCCCCCTAGTGTGCATTAGAGATACTTAGCATGCCTGTGGAGCTGGAGAGAGAGAGATTTAGAATAGTTTGTGTTTCAGCATCGTGCATAGAACCACACAGTTTTAAATAATATTAGCACATCCCAGGTATAGCACACCCATGCTGACGTAGGCAAAACTCCATGAACTGCAGAAGCCCATCTGTTTGTTCTCAGAATTTCTTGGGTCTGCTTTCAGAAGAGGCTGATTCCTCAAAAGGCCCAAAAGGAAAAGTAACAAAGAACCAAATCTTCTTCCATGCAAGAAATCCATGTAGTTGGGTTTTGCACAGTGGGATTCTGTGAAGATGGGTTGGGAAAGAAAAACCCCTTGGGGCACAGACCAACAGGGCAACTACTATCTCTAAACCTGTGCTAGCTTCTTTCTGTATCTATGTGGTTCAGAGAGAAATAGGCAGTGAATCTGCATAGCTGTATAATATGTATAATGTGCATAGTTGTTTGACATGCTGGCTCTGTCCCCTCTCTTCCTACTCATTGCTTTGACACCTCCTGAAATCAGATGATCATGCATAGGATGAGTTCCTATCATTTCAAAAAAATAGAAAAAAAGGCCAATGGTGTACTAGGTTGTATTAACAGGACTGTAATTTGCAAATCAAGAGAAGTGATTCTTCCACTCTGTTCAGCACTGGTGAAGCCTCCAGTATGCCTGGAGTACTGTGTCCAGTTTTGGGCCCCATGATTCAAGAAGAATGTGGACAGACTGGAAATAGTCCAGCAGAGAACAACAAAACTGATTATAGGCCTGAAAAGCTTGACTTATGAGGAAAGGCTGAAAGAACTAGGGTTACGTAGCCTGGAGAAAAGGAAACCAAGAAGGGATTTGGTAGTGGTCTTCAAATACCCTAACTGCAATTACAGAGGTTAGAAACGGGCTTTTCTTTGGGGTTGTAGGGCACAGGAACAGTAGCTATGGCTTCAGGCTTCAACAGAGGTTGAAGATGTGTTGTTCTGCTACAGAATGAGTTATATTCATGGATCCATGAATATAGAGATGGGAGAGGTTGGGTGGAGGGGGCTGTGTTAAGAATGATTCTTTGAAATCCTAAGTAGTCATAATCTTTCTTCTCATCTCTCTGAGAGAACAAAGATCAGCATAGGCTGTCTGACAAGTGACAAAAATGCAGGAACAGACGGACTGTTCTTGCCTGGAGGACTATTAAGATTATAGAACCCCTGTATAATATACAAATTGGAGATGTTAGTCGTATTTGGGGGAGCAGTATGCACAATTACATGGAAATCTGGCTCTTATAAAATAGACCATAACAGTCTATTGAACAAATGTATTATTGTATCTTTTGTAAAGTACAGAACCCCCTCCACAAGCTCTCAGTAACTGGAATAAATTATTTAGGCCTACAAGTCTTTATTTCAGTCACCATAGGAATGTATCAACAAGGGATATTTATCTTTTTTCCTTTTTCTTTCTCTGTTTTTAGTGTTTAAATCATTTCTGTATTTTTTTTTTTTTTTTTTTTATAGGAAGAAGAGGCTGTGTGAGCTCTATGCAAAAGTTTTGGGATCAGAAGAAGCCTTACATGTAAGAATATAACATGATGTATAATGTTAGTTTCCTTGTTGCTATCGGGAGGTATGGTGTGAAATTAGAATGTAGTGGTTAGATCAACGTTCTTGCCATTCACAAAGGAATCGTATTCTGAGAACACTTATTAGGATATACAAGAGAGTAATAAATCTACAAATTTCACTTCACATTTTACAGAGAATAAAATTACATTCCTGTGAAGCAATTAAAATGCAAGAACTCTATTTGAAACAAGGTTCTAAAACCAAAGTGTTATATTCAGTTTTATTATCTAATAAATCTAAATGGGTTTCAGATGCTGCAGGACTGGCTTCTTCATCCAATCCAAATCTTAAGCCTATAGTGCATAATATTTCTGGTCTCGCTGACTGCCCACTCCTATAGCAGCCTCTACCTTTGTTTCTTTCTATCATTCCTTTCTCCATAATGGTAACTAAATGATGGGTTTCCTTTGATAATTTATTTTATATTAACATTTTTTTCTTATTAAAGGCAGTTTTAGGTATGTTAAATTTTTAGACACAAAGTACAATAATACGTCATTTTAAATGCAACAGCAGAGCACGTGGAGCTATGGCAGTGTCAGATTTTATATATGCAGCCAATAAGTAAGGAGCAAACTAGCAGTAAACCTTTCTGGTTGTAATAGATTATAGTTCTGTGGTTCCTATACAACTTTTCAGTGAGCAGGTGCACTTACATGAAATAGAGTGGGAGTTATGTCTGCTTATACCAGAGGCAAATTTGAGTGTGTGGCTATCCACTGTTCACAACATTAGTTTCTCTACACAGGCGGATTAGGAGGAGAAGGTAGAAACAGACACTGTCTGACATCACGTTTGTACTATTCTTATGCCAGCACAAATGGTGAGCAAATAGCCATCCCTACTGTTTGTTGCTCCACTAATGTATGGAATCCCTGGGCAAGCGGAACAAGTTACCTATTGTCCTGCATCAGGCCCCCTGCCTGATACAGGACAGCGGCCCATGTGTGTTTCACCCAGTAAAGTGGATCAGCTTTGGCAGGAAGCATCTCATCACAGCTGATCCACTTTGTTTGACATCTGTTTTTATGCAGAGAAAGCCAGTTAGCTGTGTTAGTCTGAAGTCAGCCAGAAGGCAGGGCAGGGTTCCAGTTTTAGCTAGGAGTATCTGGAATTAAGGTTTATATCTGGTCCATATTTCCTGAAGAGACTTGTTAAGTGTACTCATACACTACTTTTTGCTTCTGTTTCCTTAATTTTACTGTCCTCTGATATTTATTTGCCTGCACCTTGAGTTTCATTAACTCTGTCTTGCAGCCAGTGCATTATGAAGAGAAGAACTGGTGTGAGGAGCAGTATTCTGGAGGGTGCTACACTGCATATTTCCCACCAGGGATAATGACTCAGTATGGAAGGTACAGTATTTTGCTAAAAGACTCAACAGTGGGAGGATAGGAATGAATTAATAAATAACTTGAGCACAAGTCAAAAAGCCTGGCAATATTTTTCTCCCCCACTTGTGGGGCTATGTTTTTTGTTGAAGGACCGTGATGTCAATGTGTACTTTCTCTTTAATCTTTAAAGTACAAATAAATAGATTTTTGTGGCACAACAGATAACTTTTCATGAGAATTTTGCACAGTAGGCTTTTGAGGTCAAGGATTGGCATTATCATTATGTATTTATTTTATTTATTTATTTTAATTTCTATATTTTGGAATTTCAAAACTCCCAAGTAAGGGACCAGTCCTGCTGTCATCAGCTACCCAGAACCTGGGCTAGCTGCAAACATCTGCCTCTCTGCCCCAGCTGCCTCCCAGCCCCAGACCAGGCCCTGGGCTCCGGGGGGGCAGCCACGTACCAGCAGTGCTTCCTGCTGTGCTGCCCTTGCCGCTTCTGCAAAGCAGCGTTGGAACCCGGCGCGGCAGGACACAGCAGGGGGTGTAGAAAGCTGCCTGCACCGAGCTCCCTGCTGCCCTGCCACACTTTCCCTGTGTGTACGGGAGCAGTGTGGGCAGCAGCGCAAGGTGGTGACCCTCGCTGCTGCCCCAGTCTTCAGGGGAAGTGTGGCAGGGCAGTGGGGAGCTGGGGACAGGCAACTTTCTGCATCCCCTACTGTGTCCTGCCATACTGGGTTCCAACGCTGCTTTGCAAAAGTGGTGAGGACAGCACAGCGGGGAGCATTGCTGGTATGTGCTGCCTCCCAGGAGCCCGGGGCTGGGTCTGGGGCTGGGAGGCAGCTGGGGGTGGTGTCAGGGCAGAGAGGCAGCAGATGTTTGCATCTGGCCCAGGTTCTGGGTAGCTGCTGATAGCCATGGAGCCTGGGCTGCTTGCAGCAGGGCTTGCATGGGAGCAGCACAGGCTCCGTGGCTATCAGCAGCTATCCAGAGCCGGGGCCAGCTACAGCCAGGAGGCTACAAATGGCTGCTGCCCGGCCCCGGCTGTCTCCCAGCCCCAGGCTCTGGAAAGGCAGCAGGTGCCGGCACTGCGCCCATTG